TTCCACTGCTGCCACAGACCCCGGAGCGCTCAAATCTGTCTGCCTGAATTTTTCCTCTCTGGCTAAACTCTGTGTACTATGATGACACACTTGGTGTGACTCCCTAACCTTGGACTTTTCACTGGAACACTAAAACTGGTGTCTACATGAGAGTTTGTTTAGCCCCAGCCTCTCCTCTGCCATCTTCCCCCAGACTCTCTTAATTCTTATTTTATTGATATGGAACTAAAAGCAGAAGATTTAAAACTCCAATCAAAGAACTACTTGATACCATTTACACTTTAAGAGAATATTTATTTCTGGAAAAGAGTGGCTGAGAAGGGTCATTGTAAATGCCATGTGACTGTTGTCCTCCACATCTTCTTGTTTTATGTATTGCTAAACTTGAGGAACTTTGGTATTCTTCTTCGTTGATTGAAAACCAACATTTACATTACAATCTAGTGTGTGGGAAAACCTGTGTATTTATTTCAAAAGTAGTACTATCATATTTGTCAGCTCCTAAATGTATTATTCCATGCAGAGTTGCTCAAAACTTTCCTATTTAATTCCTTTGAAAGGCTTCATGTCTTTTAAAGGAAAACGTTCAACTAAGTACAAAGACCTAAATTTCTCCGTTGACTTTGTCTCAGTTATTATAAAACAGTAACCTGTAGGCATTTATGATGTTTTAATGAGATCATTAGTAAAATATTATTATGTATTTAATCCTCACTATTTCCTATCTCATTTAAATTCAAGTTTACTTGAGATCTATGGTTAGTCTTTTTCATATAAGAATATAATTGGGGTAAAAATGCCAGGTGAATAAATTAATCACCTAATTTTATGGTCTCATCAGCATTCCTGTCCATAGAAGAAATAGAAACCTTCACGTAGAGAAGCTCAGAATTGCTAATGATTCTTTCAGAAAAGTCGTAAATTTTTAATTATTTTCAGATGTTACAAATTTTAGATAATATATTCTATGTTAAATTCATTTTATGATTTTTGACCTGTTCTTCCTCAAAAGCACCAGTAGCTCATACCTGTAATGCTAGCTACTCTGGAGGCTAACATCTGGAGGATGTTTGAGGTCATTCTAAACAGTCAAGTTCATGAGGCACTGTCTCCACAATAACTAGAGAAAAGCAAGGTTGGAAATGTGGTTCAAGTGGTGGAGCATCAGCTGAGTAAGCAGGTCAAGCAAATATGAGAACCCGAGTTTAAACCCAAGTTTGAGAGAGAGAGAGAGAGAGAGAGAGAGAACAAGTAAGCAAGCATAGTTCAGCCAGTGGCTCATGCCTGTAATTACAGCTATTTGAGAGGCTGAGAACAAGAGGATGGTAATTCAAGGTCTCCTGTCTAGAAAAGTTTTCAAGACTCCCTTCTCAAATGACTCATAGCTGGATACAGTGGTATGGACCTGTCATCTTAAGATACATGGGTGGACAAGATAAGGAAGATTGCAATTCCAGGTCAGCCCAGGCTAAAAAGTCTTCAAAATTCCATTTCCACAGAGTAAAGTTGGGTGAAGTAGCACACACTTAATATCCCAGCAACCACTGGAAGGCAGGAAGTGAGACTCTATCCTAAAAGTAACTTGTGAAAAACTGACTGAAGGCATGGCTCTGGGGTAGAGCAAGCACAAGGCTCTGTACTACTAAATAAAAAGAGTGGGGGAGGAAAGGAGAGGGAGGGAGGAAAGGCAGGGGAGGGGAGGAAAGAGACCACAAGCATAGACTATGTACCTTTGCAAAGAACAAGGCAATGGAAGTTTCGATTTTGATTTCTTTTAATTTTTATGTAGAAATTTAAGTCATGTGTCCATGAAGCAGGCTCTGGAAATTTTTGTTCTGCTATAAACGACATAGAGCACAGACAAAACATCTGACATTGGACAATAGCATCACAATCCTGTGGTGCCAGAGAAAAGGGAACAACTCCTCTGTTGCCTTAGCCTATAGCCGAGGCAGCTACCAAAGCTCAAGGAAAAGAAAGCACTGTAGAAGAAGCTAATTGAAATGAAGAAATAGGGATCAAAGTTTGTGAACAAGGTAGATAACATTTGTGGGATAATGGTCCAAAGAGGAGGGTGCTATGAAGAGTATTTCAGAAATCTTCGTAGGAATTCCATGAGGTTTTAGGTAGTTCTAAAACTCAAAACCAGGCTAGAAAAACATGCTAAGAAACTAATTCCTCAGAACTATAAAGTGAATAAATCTAGGTGTTCACACAGGGACAGTCATCATTTCCCTTCTTTCAGCTAGTAAAGAGACATCACTGAAGACCTGGACATTCAGTACAGATGCCCAGAAGAACTAACTGTACCTCAGAAGTGGAGCCAACCTTGTCCTGGAACAAAGGATTTTCTACCTCTCTCTTGAAAGAATTTTAAACACTTGAAAAGATCAAATAACTTAGAAAGTAATTTATACAACAAAATATAGCACTCAGCAATGCAAATTGAAATGTATAACAATCAAAAGCAACCCTGCCTAGAAATGACAGAGGAGATGAAATTAACCCCCAAAAATATTTAAATAGCTCTTATTACAGGGACCTTTATTGTCTGCCAGGAAAACATACATGATGTGAAGAGAATAGAAGGTATAAAAAAAGAAACAAGTGGAACTTACAGAGCTGAGCTTTTTTATTGGGGGGTGAAGGTGCAGTACTAGTGCCAAACAAGGGCCTCACACTTGCTAATAGGCACTCTACTTCTTGAACTACACCCGTAGCCCTTTTTCATTTAGTTATTTTCAGTCAGGCTCTTTCACATTTTCGCCCCAGAACTGGCTTGAGACCCTATACTCCCACCTATGGCTCCCACTCCCACACATAGCTAGGATAACAGACACATTGTGCTATGTCTCCATTATTGATTGAGAGAGGATCTCCATTATTTTTGCCTCATCTAACATCAAACTGCAGTCCTCCAATATCCAATTCCTGATTACTTGAGATTACAGGTGTGATCCACCATACCAGGCCTTTTTTATTTTTTGGTGGTACTGGAGTTTGAACTCAGAATTGATTCTTCAAAAAAAAATATTATAAAGTTGATGTTCAGAGGGGTTACAGTTACATAAGTCAGATAATGAATACATTTCTTTTCAGACAATGTCACCCTTGATCTTACTCTCTCCCAGTTTTTCCCTCTCATCCCACCCACAAGTTGAGTAGTTCATTTTCAGCAGAGTGTCCAGTGAGTACCACTGCTCTATTTGTCCACCCGTCGTCCCTCCATATCTATGCCTCCCCTTACACTCCCAAATATAAATGAACATACAGAAACAAAAGGAAAGAAAACAAAAATAGCAAAAAAGAAAACAAACTTGTTTTCATTTCCTGGAGTTCATTTCAATAAATATTCTGTATGATCAGATGCACATAAGCATTGTGACTTTCTGTTCCTCTCCTAAGAGTATCTTCCTCTGGTCTTAGTGTCTGTGAATGCCTAGAGATCTGTATTATGTCCTTGTATTTTAGATCTAGATTGTACATGAGAGAAAACATGGGCGATTTGTCTGAACTTGGCTTATCTCACTTAACATGATTTGTTCAGAACTAATTCTTAAGAGAAAGTATTATTATTTTTTTTCTTTTTTTTTCTTTTTTTTTGGGGGGGGAGTCCGGTTGTGGGGCCTGAACTCTGGGCCTGAGCGCTGTCCCTCAGCTCTTCAGCTCAAGACTAGCGCTCTACCACCTGAGCCACAGCACCACTTCTGGCTTTTTTCTTTTTGCTTATGTGGTGCTGAGGAATCGAACCCAGGGCCTCATGCATGCAAGACAAGCGCTCTACCACTGAGCCACCTTCCCAGCCCCTCTCATTTATTTCTCAGTGTGTTTTATTTCATTCACAACAGCACTGTGAATTTAGGATTAGACTCACTTTCTACGTTTTTTTTTTTAAAGGCTTAGAGAAAATGCATAAATGCACAAAGGTCAGGAGCCAGAATTCAATCCCAAACTTGACTCTAAAATTTGTTTTCGTCTCTCCTCCTGCTCAGTTGCTTATATGAAAATATCTGGTTTAAAATGTCATTTAAAAATTATTATGAGGGCTGGGAAGCTGGCTCAGTGGTAGTGCTTGCCTTGCATGCATGAGACCCTGGGTTTGATTCCTCCATACTACGTAAGCAGAAAAAGCCAGAAGAGGCCCTGTGTCTCAAGTGGTAGAGCGCTAGCCTGGAGCTGAAGAACTCAGGGACAGCGCCCAGCCCAGGGTTCAGGCAACAACAACAAAAAGAAAAGATTTTAGGGGGAGGATGGGAAGGGGAAACAAAGGAGGAGGCTACACTGCTCGATAAGAAATGTACTCATTTTCTTGCCCATGTAATTGTAACCCCTCTGTACAATATTTTCACAATTAAAAAAAAAGATTTTAAAAAAATTACTATGAAAGAGGTTCTTATAACATTGATTTTGCTGACTAAGAAAGGCTCTATGAATCAAACCTACTAAGTAAGGAAATAAGGAATTCGGTGCTGGATTGTATAGGAGATCCCTTCAACTAAGTAGCTTACAAAATTCCCTGCATAGCTTTTTGTAGTAAAAATCCAAAAATTGAGCTTTGGCTTTTATCTAGCTAAGTTCCAGAAGATGTTCAAAAAGACATAAAAGGAATTTGTTTGGGTTGTATCTGACATGAGTAATAAGTAGTCACAGTAAGATTATTTATCAGGCAGCCTGAATATAATACTTCACAATTAATATGGGTTGATTGGTCTTGAGTACAAGTCTTAGCTATGAATATATTTTAGGAAGCTGTCTCTCCCGGGGTACTCTCTAAAGCTTGATCCCAAAAGCCATATCCTACATCTGTGGCATCTGTCCCAGCAGTCTTTGACTGCGTAAAACAACCTTACCAAATGAAAGTGGATTTGTATTACCAATTCCAGGAAATATTTAACCCACACTAATAATAACAATAGGTCCCCATATAAGAATAGTAATACAAATGTATCTTTAACATAATAAATCCAATGATCACATACCTGTGGGTCTTTTTCATGCAGATGTGACAGTGGTTTATCAAAATGGGTTACCAGTGATATCTGTGCGGCTACCATCTCGGCGTGAACGTTGCCAATTCACTCTCAAACCTATCTCTGACTCTGTTGGTATATTTTTACGACAACTGCAGGAAGAGGATCGAGGAATTGACAGAGTGGCAATCTATTCTCCAGGTACAGTTAGTCACCCTCATTTTTAATTCTCACTTCTCATTTCCCCCCCAAACCGTTTCTAGACATATGAAATGCTCATTGCAAAAAGCTATCATCCTGTTAAGTTACGGCACTTTTTTGGCCTAGCAAGCACAAGAGAGTAGTACAAGAGGAGTGTGATTCTCCATCCCCACCCTCCTATGAGTCTCAGGATATATCTGCTCAGTTTTAGTAAATGTCTGTGCTCAGAGAGTCCCATTCCCCAGCAACTCACAGATCATGCCAGGGCAAGGCCAAGTAGACAATCACATTTATGTTACTGAGACCTTCTATCATTACCTTAGTGTAGAATAAACTTTTCCAATAGTTGAGCCTTTGTCTCCAGAGATATAAAATACTAGAGTTTCTCTTCTTATGTTTATCTTATGTTTATGATCTTATGATCTTATGTTTATCACATAAATGTGTATCAAAATAGAATATTTCATTTGAAAAACATAAAACACAGCACTAAAACATTCCTATTTGATAGAACATCTGTTTATTTTTAAGTGCCTTAATTTTTTTCCCTTTTACTTGGAAATTTTTCAAACTTATGTAGCTATGAAAGACTTCTGCAGCAAGCACTCATTTATCCTTTACCTGGATTTACCATTATTAACAGTTAACCACATTTCTGTATGCTAGTTTTTATTTCTAAGCTTTAAGTACCCTGACCTCTCCAAGTAGTACCATTAGTAAACCAACTTGGTATCCTTTGCTCATCCTAGTATCCGTCCTTGCTGAATTAATAATCGGTGACTATGCTAGAAGGCTTTGTGCGTTAGAAGGCACTGGGGTTCCATCATAAATGGTTGTAAGAAGTCCATATGGCTCTACAAGTCCCAGCTGATGCCTGTAGATGTATGGGTAATTATTTCACTTGCTCGTGCAGTTTTAGGAAAAGCTTCTGGTTATATCTTCAGGTTTGGCCTAAACACAAAGGTATCAGATGTAAACTTTGTTTAGCAGAGGATGAGGAAAACATCAGAACATAAAAAAGAAGAGTTGATTTTTTTTTTAAAAAAAGGAAGAGGTAATTTTTTAAATGTGTGTTGACAGTTCACTTTTCCTGCCCATTTATGAGTATAGACTTGTGACCAGTTTCATTTAAAATGTTCACAGATGGCGTTCGTGTTGCTGCCTCCACGGGGATAGATCTCCTCCTCCTCGATGACTTTAAGCTGGTCATTAACGACATAACATATCATGTACGGCCCCCAAAAAGAGGTAAAAAAAAAAAAAAAAGTAGTCGATAAAGTTACACAGTTTTTGGAGAGCACCAAAAGCTTTATATATAATTAGGCTCTGTTAGACTAGTTAGACTACCTGGATATCTACCTGGATACTGTAGTGCTTGTTTATCCAGCAGTGTCTCTGTTGAAACTATGAACGTCCTGCCTAACTGACATTTCTTCCCTCCATATAGTCTTTTCATCAACATTAAAATAACACAGGAAAATCTTTTTAAAATAAATTATAGGCTTTTCTGTTCTCTTAAACACTGATAGTTTACCTTGGGGGGTGGGGGGGCAAAAGGATGATGACAGAAATTCAACATCCTGAAAGTCAGTTATTGTACAGATATTATTTGGCTTGCAGTGGTGTTCATAGACCATTATAAATAGAAAATACTGTGACCAGGATATCCATTAAATACACCTAACCTACTGAATAGCACAGCTTAGTCTAGTCTACTTGAAATGTGCCCAGGATGTAGGTACATTATATGATTAGACAAAATTACCTAAACAAAACATCCTTTATAATGAAATATTGACTGTTTCATATACACACATAGAGGCATACATTAGCATGAAGGAATGCAGAAACACAAAATACAGTCAGAACTTCTAACAGTACTGTGTGCTGCAGAATATTGGTTGTTTATCCTTAAGATTGCAGGGCTGGCTGGGAGCTGCGGCTCACTGCTGATGCCAGTGGTACAAGAGGATTGTGCTATGAATTCCTAGCCTAGGAACAGATCACACTCAAGATTAGAATTCTTTTTGCTTTCTTACCACTGTAAAATCACAATCTGAAGCTGGGGACCATCTATATAGTAATCCTTAGAAACTTTTGATGCTCTTAGGTAAAAAAAAATGAGTTCTCACCTCAGGTTCAAATTTTAAGAGGTGCCAAAAAATTCAGTAATTAAGATGAATTAATATTTTAATGTACTATTGATTAAAAACAAGATTAAGGCAAAAAAACATGATGAGAAAAATATTTAAAAATTTCAATAGACAGTACTGTTGATTTTTCTTTTCATCGCAGGTCCAGTTTGGCTCTATCAAGTATTGATGCTCAGTAGCCCTCTAAAAGAGCTTGAATTGTGTCTCAATAAATTGTTTTTCTCTTTGCCTTTGTTATTTATTGTCATTTACTGCTACTATGAATTACCTTCCACTACTAATCTCTCCATCTGCCTCCTGGGAGATCTCTTCAATCCTGCTTTTAGGAATTCATCTAGCAGGGCACTAGGGCTCACACCTACAATACTATCAACTCAGGCAGTTGAGATTTGAGGATTGTGGTTTGAAGCCAGCCCCAGGCAGAAAAGTCTATGAGATTCTTATCTCCAGTCAACCACCTAAAGCCAGAAGTGAAAGTGTGTTTGAAGTGGCAGAGCATTTGCCTTGAGCAAAAGAGCCAAGCAAGAGTACCGACACACACACACACACACAAAATCAGTTGTTTGAAATGCTTAAATAAGGATACAGGTTGACCCATTGTAACAATGAGATGTCCAAGAACAGTATGTTGAAAATGAACTTTACAATTTCTGTGGGGGGGGAAGGGGGAGGAGGAGGAAAAGGAAGTGGGGAGATGGGAGGTGGGAAGGGAGGGTAGGAGAAAAACAAAGGAGAAGGTAACATTGCTTGGATAGGAAATGTACTCATTACCCTACTCATGTAACTGTAACCCCTGTACAGTATTTTTATAATAAAAATATATATGGAAAAACAAAAAAATAAAATCAGTTGTTTGAAGAACCTCCATACTGATTATCCTAATGCTGGACTAAGTTACCTTTTCCTTCATGAAGTTGAGGGGTTCCTTTACCCCTGCATCCTTAACAAGTTATTTTTTTTTCTTGGTGATAGACATTCTATCTTCTTCAACATTTAAAATGTAGTAAGGAAAATCTTTTAGTAAGGAAAATCTTCTTTATATAAAGTGCATATTGTTTGCATTGGATTTTCTTCCTGACACTGCTTGAGAAAGATATCGCTAGCATCAAGGCACCACCAGTCTTTTCTGCCAAGTACAGTAAAAGAGCCATTTGGGTTTCTGCATTTACAAGAGATGCACTCTTTGCCCATGAGTGAGCAGGTTCCTCCTGCACTGTAGCTCTTTGCCGCAAAACTAGGTGGGGGAAAGGAATAGAAGGCAGCACACAATCTCTGGGCATCGGATAACGAGGAATGACACTAGGGCTGTATATGACCCTGGGGCAGCTGGGACAAATCTACTTTGTCTAATAAAAGGTAAAATAAGTAGTTCATGAAGAATAACTTTCCCAGGATAGCTTTAATTTTTTTTGGGGGGGGGGGGGCAGGGTCCGGTCATGGGGCCTGAACTCTGGGCCTGGGCGCTGCCCCTCAGCTCTTCAGCTCAAGGCTAATGCTCTACCACTTGAGCCACAGCGCCATTTCCGGCTTTGTTTTTCTTTTTGCTTATGTGGTGCTGAGGAATTGAACCCAGGGCCTCATGCATGCAAGGCAAACGCTCTACCACTGAGCCACCTTCTTAGCCCAGCTTTAATTTTTTTGACACACAATGTTCTATTCTTTCCTTAACCACACTTTCATTTCTCTTATGTGTTCTTTTCCCTGTGTGAGGGAACTTTGGAACTAATGAAACTAAAAGTACTCTATTAATGTGTGTCAACTATAGTTTTATACACACACACAGACACACACACATGCACACACACCAGGCACTGAGGATAGAAGGGTCATTCATGTTGGGTTTATTTTATCCACATTCCATGTTTATGTGGGATTGGCATCCTGTAAGGTACTGTGGCTGGGGTACTGTACTGAGCCTGTGGCTCATTAAGTGTTGGCAGCCCTGTACCTAACTCTTAAGTTGACCCATGAAGACATGTATCCCAAATTGGAAGAAATGGATGTGTTGTAACAGTAAGACTAATTGTAACCTCCATTGCATTCTTTTAGTAGCCATAGGTATACATAGCTGGGTTCCTCTCTAACTGCTCTGAGATGAGAGGAGTCACTATTTTCTCAATTAGGTGATTTCATAATTTAACCTAAATGTGTAATGGAGGGAGGAGTATAGAAAGAAGCACAAAAAGCCTTTCATCCCAGTTCATGTTGCAGTAACTATATAGATATCTAATGTTATATATAACATTAACTATGTAGATAATACTCTATTATCACCAAAGGATACCTTTTTTCCAATGCCAGTCCTGAGGCCTGAACTCAGGGTCTGGATGCTGTCCCAGGGCTTTTTTTGGTCAAGGTTAGTACTCACGTGCCAACTGCCAACCTGTGGCATAAGTGTAAGCCACAGCTCTACTTCCAGCTTTTTGGTGGTTAATTGGAGATAAGAAAGAATCTCAGCCATGAGTCTGTAGCTCTCATCTGTAATCCTAGTTACTCAGGAGGCTGAGATCTGAGGATCATGGTTCAAAGCCAGCCCAGGCAGGGAAGTTCATGAGACTCTTACCTCCAATTAAGTACTAAAAAGGTATAAATGGCACTAAGACTCAAAGTAGTAGAGCATTAGCCTCTAGTACAAAAGCTCAGGGACTGCACTTAGGCCCTGTGTTTAAGCACCAGGACTGGCGCACGTGTGCGCGCACACGTGCGCGCGCACACACACACACACACACACACACACACACACACAAGTTTCATGGACTTTCCTACCCTGGCTGACTTCAAACCATGATGCTCAGGTCTCAGCCTTCTAAATAAGCTAGGATTACAGGAGTGAGCCACCAGCACCCAGCTGGAGGATATTCTTTTGTATGTACTAAAGAGAACTATTTTGATGGTACGTGTTTCCTATTTTTGCAGAGATAATTGGAGATGTTGCCTCTCTTAATGAAATGATTTGAAAACAGATTAAATGGGCAAACCAGACAACAACAATAATAATTTCACTGTTAGGGATGCAAATAGTCCATATCCTTCCTGAATCATGTTTGTGGTTGTGAAATTTTCACCACCCAGTGTGTTTGTATGTCTTACGATACTGAGATTTGAACTGAAGGCTTTGTGCTTACCAGGCATGTACTCTATCACTTGAACCATGCCCCAATTCTTTTGCTTTTAGTTTGTTTTTCAGATAGGGTCTCATTACTAACTTTGCCCAGATGCCTCAAACCCCAATCCTCACAGTCTCTTCCCAAGTAGCTGAAATTACAAGAGAAACTACTGTACCTGGCTTTCCCCTGCCTATATGCACCTTAATAATCCTGTAATTGATGGCATCTATAAAAACATTAGTAAACATCTAATTCCTTTTTAGTGAGGCATAACTAATCATCAGATTTATTTTCCTTCTTCCTTTAATTTCATCTCCACATATGTAGTCAGGTTTCTTTAGGGCCATTGGTTCAAGATTGTTGTTCTTCAGTCTGATGATACCTTGTAACTATATTCTCTTGTGAAGAAAAATTGACAAAGCATAAAAACTACCAGGGCTCTCTTGATATATAATCAGAGAGAAACTGTTACCCAGCAATGTCTGAAATTACAATCTGTGAGATCTCTTGTGATTTGTCTCTTTCTATTTTTTGTTTCTGTTAGAAGGTATTGTAATTGCACAGTATTTTGTTATTACTCAGAATAGATAATACATTCATAAGGTTCAATTCCAAAAGACTAAAGAAATTTTGCATAAAAATCATCTTCTTATCCCTGTTCCCTAGATACCCTTTTCTCTTCTGTATCAGCAAACTGTCCTTAGTTTCTTACATCTCCACCAGGATAGTCTGTGTATTCATAAGCAAATGTGAATACATCAATTTTCTATTTATGCAAATAGTTCATGTCATAAATACTGTTTGTATTATTTAGGGTTTGTTTTGGGAAAACCAACCTCATAAATATTATGGAATAAGAGATTACTTGTAGGAAGAAGACCAGAGGAAGAAGTAGATGAAGCAGAAAGGAATGCTGGGAGGATCAAAGAGAAGTAATTTTGAAGCAGCAACACAGAGCACAAATCAGAGTTCACCAGGGAATCTAGAAGGCTTGCACACCCATTATTTATGCTAGGACTGTATATTTCACTTGTAGATAAATTCTTCAGTCTTGTCAGATAGAACTTTCTGGTTCAAAACCCTGGGTTCAACCCAAGCACCAAAGAAAAACTTTGTAGGATGCTAAAGATGTTCTATTTCTGCACTGTCTGGTATAGTAGCTATTTACCACATGTGGATGTTGAGCACTGAAATAGAGCTAGTGTCACTGAAGAAGTGAATTTTTAATTTTGTCTTTATTTTACATTTCAATGATGCATGAGAGGTTGCAAAAATGTTAAGTCAAAGAACAAAAAATTAGGAAAGGAATTCTAAGTGATCTTGTCTACAGCATGGTGACTCTATTTAATAACAATGTATTGTAGTCTTAGTAATTGCTAAGACAATAGACTTGTGTTCTCATCACAGAAACATGAGTGTCTGAGGCAATCCATTTAGCTCTATTTAGCTAGCCCATACATTGTGCACTTCAACACATGTTTATGATAAATATATACAATTTTTGTCAATTTAATATAATTAGTAAAAAAAATAAATAGCAAATATCCATAGTGGACAGGAGATCTTCAGGAGGTTCATAGGCCTAGGTTCTCTGTTTGCCAACAGAAATAATAGAGAAAGAGCCGGACCCAGGGCGCAGGAGAGCAGGCGTGGCTGGTATCTGCAGGCACCTCTGTATAGGCCTCCCTACCGGCCTGCAGAGAATAAGCCTCTGGCTCACATCTGCTTTCAAAATCTCATCTGAGTTCTTCTTTTGGCTATCCCTAACTCAGAACAGTAAAGGAAAGGATAATCTGTGAAGCCTGATGCCACTTATACAGATTGAAAAGGCATAGAAATTACTAAATGTCTAGTAATTTTTCTTACCTGATAGTCAATCTTGAGGATCTTAACACAGAAAGTATACAATAAAAGGTAATTGTGTGTGCACGTGCCAGTGCCATTACTAGGGCTTGAACTCAGGACTTGGATACTGTTCCTGAGCTTTTTGGATCAAGGCTGGCATTCTGCCACTTGAGCCATAGCTCCTCTGGGTTTTTAAAAGTCTCACAGACTTTCCTGCCTGGCTGCCTGCAAACCATGATCCTCAGATCTCTGTCTTGTGAGTAGCTAGGAGTGCTGGCCAGAGCCACCAGTGCTTGGCAGAGTGTTGGTTCTTCATCTTGTAAATGAAGAGTTGGTAACTCTATGCAGGTGTGAACTGCAGCTCTGTTACCAAGAATGCCCTGCTGATATAACAGACTTCTATCACTGAGTTCTTTTACCCATTCCTATTAACTCAGCACCTGTGCTGGAGTGTCTGTGTTTTGTGGTAGGTGCTAGGTCTCATTTAAAACAGCTTGGCTCCAATCCAGTTTGCCAGCCTTATGCAAATTTTTCCATTGATTGAATTTCTATGATAAATATACTAAAGGACATCCTTGAAGTATACTGAAATATGTTTATTCTCACTGGGGTTTATTTTTATTCAAAAGAGGGCTGACCTATGCCATATGAAGCAAATGTCACATCTAAAACTAGTAAGATTATAAAACAAAAGCTCTATATCTGGTGCTTTTTTTCTTAATTCAACAGCCAACAGTAAGTTTTTTTATTAGATTCTTAAAACATAATTTTTAGACTTCTGGAAACATATGCCACTTACAGTAAGAGCTATTAAATCAAAGAACTTAATCTTTTAACGTTTTCCTGTAGAACATGATACTGGGGTCCCCATAGCTGGACTATGCCTTTCCTCAGCAGGAATTTAAAGTTGTTGTGCTGGGAAAGGGATGCGTGGAGATTAAGATTATCACAGGGATGTTATTTTTATTTATGCCTTTGTATTTGCAAATTTAAAATTCTGCATTTTTTCCTTCTGGAGTTTCTAAAGGTAAAAACCTAAAATGGCAGGACCACAGATAGATTATAGACCAACATTTTAATAAGCACCATAATCAGGTTGATTTTAAACCTCTCTACTATTTTTTTTACATTTTACATCTTATTTTTATTGACACCAGAGCTTGAACATACATTTTTATTATCTTTATGTAGTTATACAAAGGGATTACTAGTCACATGTCAGTTTATGAGTATAATGCATCTTGATCATTATCACCCCTTTCTACAGCCACCCTAAATGCATCCATGTTTCTCCTAATTTAACATTTGCTTTAACTTTTTATTCTGATTTAATGGTTTTTATCTTTCAGTTCTGAGGATTAGAGCTAGGGCTTCATAGTGCTAGACAAGCATTGAACTGATGAGCTGCGTGCATCCCAACCCTGGAGATTATTTAAATCACTTTTCTTAATGTTTCCCTTAAACAGCCCCATTTGTAGCAACTATCCTTCCAATAATACATCAGTAACAATTGTTTCCAAGCTCTGGTTTCCATAATGTGAATTTCCTTTCTAGATTTACAGTTTTACTCTGAAGGTGGGAGTGATCCAGTAGGTGGGCCTGCCTGGTCATCTGTAGTTGCAGGAAGTTTCTAAAAAGTGTTACGCTTTCTTTCAGACCTCTTAAGCCATGAAAATGCAGCAACACTGAACGATGTGAAGACACTGGTCCAGCAACTCTATACCACGCTGTGCATCGAGCAGCACCAGTTAAACAAGGAAAGGGAGCTTATTGAGAGACTAGAGGTCCTCAAAGAGCAGCTTGCTCCCCTGGAGAAGGTGAAAATCCTCAGACTTTTCTCCTCACCTGTGTTTTTTTCCAGAGCACGTGTTCTTTTTTTGTTGTTTTTGGTCATGGGACTTGAACTCTGGGCCTGGGCACCATCCCTGAGCTCTTTTTTGCTCAAGGCTAGCATTCTACTATTTAAGCCATAGCGCCACTTCCAGTTTTCTATTGGTTAATTGGAGATAAGACTCTCGCAAACTTTCCTGCCTGGGCTGGCTTCAGATTGTGATCCTCAAATCTCAGCCTCCTGAGTAACTAGGATTACAGGTGTGAGCCACCAGCGCCCAGCCACATGTGTTCTTATAATTTTTATATAATTGAATCATGTCAATCAAATCAGCCCACTAGTTTATAAGACTGATAATTAAATGCTCAATTAAAAGGGACTTAAAGGGAATTGTTTGGCCTAGCACTGCTGGCTCACACTTGTAATCCTAGCAACTTGGGAGGCTGAAAATGGGAGGATCATAGTTCAAGACCAGCACAAGTAAGTTTATGAGACCCCCTTCTCAACCCATAAGCTTGCCTTTCATCCTAACTTAATAAGAGACTGAGATTAGGAAGGTCACAATTCCAGGCCAGCCCTAGGCAGAAAGGCTACAAGACTCTTAAGACTCCATCTGGACAGAAGAAGCTAGCACATCATCCTAGCTAACACAGGAATGACCGATCATGGTCCAGGCACATATCTGAGAATAACCAATTCAAAAAAGGGCTGAAGTTGTGGCTTTAATATAGACTACCTGCCTACTAAGCATGAAAGCCTGACTTAAAACCCCTATACCAAAAAAACAATCTGGAGCCTTGATAATAGACTGAAAGCTCCAAGATACAAATCTACCACTCTCAACCAATTTTACCACCTTAAAGACAAAAATTGGAGCTGGGTGCCAGTGACTCACACCTGTAATCCTAGCTATTCAGGAGGCTGAAACCAAAGCCTTCCAGCCCAGGCTGGAAAGTCCATGAGACTCTTACCTCCAATTAACCACCAAAAAGCCAGAAGTGAGCAGTGGCTCAAGTTGTAGAGTACCTGCCCTGAACAAGAAAAGCTAAGGGACAGCACCTAGGACTTGAGTTCAAGTGACCAGCACACACACACAAAAACTGGAATTATTGCTGGTAAGAAAAGGTTTTCTTTGCAGTAGATAATGATGTTAGCCAGGTGAAGAGTACATATTACTTGGAATACAATAAAGCTACTAAAAATATATTACTTAGAATACCAAAAAGCTGTTAAAATGTAATTTACCATAGATTCATGATACATTATGGAAAATGAATTCTGAAACAGTGTATATACTATGATTCAATTTTAAATGCATTCTTCATATAATATTTATTCATATATATGCAAACATAAAATACACACAGAAGGAATATATTCTGAAATGAGCAGTCACTTGTGATTGATTTTCCTTCTTTACACTTTTTAGAATGTAGTATAGTGAGCATATGTTTCCCTTAAGTTTTTATGATGATATAAAGTACAGTCATGGTTTACTTAATGATGGGATATATTGTGAGAAATGTGTCTCAGGATTGCATTGTGAGAACACCATAGAATACATTTACACAAAGGTTTGTGTAAATGTAGTAGTCAGGAGATGCAGCAAACCTTAATTGTAAGAGACGCTGACATGGTGGCAGTAAACTTTTATAAGTAGGAATACACTCCAAAGCAGTGAGGAAAAGTATAGTGTAGTAAATATCTAAACAATATAAGTATCATGCAGTTGAATTAAAACTGAATCATGTGTTTAATTTTTGTACTTGAATTCAAAGTCTTTGATATTAAATATGTGATGCTTTTTATAAAAAACTGATAGGAGATGAAATTTGTCACACACAAAGATGGTAATATTGTTTTCCTAGGGTAAAACTTAAAAATACAAAAAAAAAAACACCTCTTGTTGTCCCTGTAAGATATTTCTTTCAGTGAAAACTACAGATACTATTTAGGAAAACACTAGAACTGAGTCTAACTTGTATCTTGATTATAAGCCCTATTTCTTTTTTTTTTTTTTTTTTGCGGGGGAGGGTTTGTGGGGGGTCTGTCATAGGCTTGAAAAGGCTAGCATTCCACCACTTGAACAATAGTGCCACTTCCGGTTTTCTGGTCATTAATTGAGATAAGAGGCTTAGGGACTTTCCTTGCCCTGCCTGGCTTTACCACAATCCTCAGATTTTAGCCTTCTGAGTAGCTAGGATTACAGGCCTGAGCCACCTATTCCCTCTAAGCCCTGCTTCTTTAATGTACATACAAATAGTCTGAATCAGATTATTCATGTTAGATGTCTTATCATTGCACATGTGCCCAATAGGTACGAATTGAGATTAGCAGAAAAGCTGAGAAGAGGACTACTTTGGTGCTATGGGGTGGCCTTGCCTACATGGCCACACAGTTTGGCATCTTGGCCCGGCTGACCTGGTGGGAGTATTCCTGGGACATCATGGAACCAGTTACCTACTTCATCACCTACGGAAGTGCCATGGCAATGTATGCATATTTTGTAATGACTCGCCAGGTAAGAATCCTTCTCGGGTTAGTTTTTATGAGACATGAGGGAAGTTTGGGTTGTCTCTTTCCTCTCATACCCTTTCCAGGCCAGTTCTTTAAGTACTCATCTACCCTTTATACACAGACACATATGTGCAGGTGCACATGAGTGTAAGTCATGTATTTGCCACTCCTGAGAGGAAGGGCTAAGACATGGATGGCTTCTGCCCTGATGAAGCTCATAGACCACTGAGAGCCACGTAAACTACTACATGCAGAAAAGCAGCCTGGAACAAGAACACAGTGAGAAAACACAGGAAGTGTAGCAAGTGTAGGGAAACTTGTTTACTTTTGTTGGCTTGATTTTATTGTTTGTTTGTTTGTTTGTTTTGTGGTACTGGGGGTGAAACCAAGGGCCTTGCATATGTGCTAGCAAGTATTCTACCACTGAGCTACATCCCTAGCCCCACTGACTGGATTTTTTATGGGTTGTATTAATTTAGCAATTGAATGAGGAATATCACCCACTTTGTATTGAGTTTTCCCAGTGGTGATAATCAAACATTTAAACCTAACTCTAAACCACTACATAAATTAAATGATGTTTCATTGCTACTTATACTGCACAAAAGGGAAGTAATATAACTAATTTTTGCTTTATATTCTTAATCTGTTCTGTATCAACCGTGGCTTGTTTACTGAAAACGTAGAACTTTGGGAAGTATGAGGGATTTATCACTTCTTTTTAATGTGGTGATGGAGCCTAGGGCCTCTCCCCCTAAGCTGTACTGCCCAGCTTCTGGTATCATTCATGAAGTCTGTGATCCTATCACAGACCCAACCTAGATATCTCTGAATAACAAACACATGATAGCTGCGACACTAGTTTCCTGATTTTTCAGAAGAAAGCTGACATTTACTCCACACGTTTTTCTTTTAATTAATTAATTTATTTATTTATTTTGGATCCAGTCGTGGGGCCTGAACTCTGGGCCTGGGCGCTGTCCCTCAGCTCTTCAGCTCAAGGCTAGCGCTTTACCACTTGAGCCACAGCGCCACTTCCGGCTTTTTTTTCCTGCTTATGTGCTGAGGAATCGAACCCAGGGCCTTATGCATGCAAGGCAAGTGTTCTACCGCTGAGCCACCTTCACAGCCCAGCTCCACATGTTTTTATGTGGTACTTTTGAACACAGACTTTTTTTCTTTGGGTGTTCTTTTGTTGTTGTTTTGTTTTGGCAGTACTAAGGTTTGAACTCTGGGCTCTATATGTTAGGCAGATACTGTGTCTTGTGAGCCACACCTCCAGCCATTTTTTTCTCTATTTATTTTTCTTTCTGAAATAATTTAATAAAAATTGTCCATTTCTAAGAAACACCATTGCATTCCCTTCAATATAAAATAACCTTAAAAATAGGAAATTCACCAATCAAGGGCATGGTTTGTTCTGCTTATTTTAAGATAAGCCCTCTCTTTGTACCAGGCCATACTGGACTAAAATCCTCCTATTTAGACTTTCCACCTTACCTGGGATGACTGGTGCATACCATACATCACACCCAGCTATTTCTGTTGAGATTCTGTCTTGAATTTTTTTTTTTGCCCAGGCAGATCTAAAACTGTGACCCTCCCTAATATCAGCCTCCTATATAGCTAGAAAGACAGGCATCTGCTACCATACCCAGCTATTAATTCAGATGGAGATGTGATTTTTTTTTCCCATACTGGCCTTAAACCATTATCCTTTCAATCTCTTCCTCCCAAGTAGCTGGGACTACTTGGGAACCGCTGGCCCCCAGCCAAATAGTTTCTTTCTGTTGTTATATCAGTGGTCATGGACCTAGTTATATGTAGAGAATTAAAGCACATACGTGATTTAGCCGTTCAAATGTGTCCTTCCAGTACTTGTCCAGAGTCTAGTGCATCCACCCCCATGTCTGTGTGAATGGAACTTGAAATAGTTATATCATCCCGTTTCTCTTTTCTCTTCCTTAGCCTGTATATTCCATAACTGCTTTCTCTGTCCTTTTCAAATCTCCATCCAAATCTCTGTTCCAAACAAAGTTATCTTCTGTATTACCCCCAAGGTATCCTGAGTTTCCCTCATTTCATTCCTTACTTCACATCTTTCTTTGAACTGGGAGTTTTTCCTGTTGATCTCTACATATCATCTTTACTTAAATGCTTTTCTTTCATACTGGTACTGGGTCTTGAACTCGGGGCCCTGCACTCTCATTCAACTTTTTCTGCTCACACCTGATACTCCAGCACTTGAGCCATACTGCTAATTCCTGCTTTTTGCTGGTTAGTTAGATAAGAATCTTTCAGATTTGTCTCCCCAGGCTGGCTTGAAACTGCGATCCTCAGAATCAGCTTCCTGAATAGCTGGGATTACAGGCATGAACCACTAGCACACATCTTTCATGAACTTTTGACCAGTTCCTACCTGACTTCAATCTCTCTGTCTTCTCATTTACTACATACATTGTGCCTTTCATTTCATTCATCTCCTGTTAGTCTGTGTTATAATTAGTTTGTTCAATGCCTTTTCCCTTCTACTAGACTGTAAAATCTTTTAAAGCTGAGTATTTGGTTTTATTCTGTTTTAAGTTCTATTCAGTTTCACTCCATTTTATCTTCAAATGTGAATGAATTGAACATATAAATGTCAGCCTTCCAAATATACTATAACTCTAGATATACTTTGATGTATCTCCAGCACTCAGGCCCAGAGTTCAAACCCCACAACCGACCAAAAAAAAAAAAAAGGTCTGTTTTATAAATGTTTTCTGGAACTAGAGATGAACACAAATATGACACTTGAACACAATGTCAGCACTTCTTTTCTTCTTATCATGTGGTTGGATCTGCAATACTTTATCTGCGCAACTTGTTAAATATTCTATTCCTGTGATTCCCAGAATGTTGGTGCTGCCCCCAAGTGACAAGTTGCAAAATTGCAGTAGTAAACAATTCAGTTTATGAACAGGAAACCATCAGCCAAATAGAACGTAGTCTCTTGCACTTAATATTGTTTCACCTAACTGATATTGGTAATGAAGTCCATGAAGCACATGCAACCACATTTAATCTCTTCTAAGTTGTTATAACAGTATGCTACATTTGCTAACATTCTAAATATATCCCAATAGTATACTTCAAATATACCTCTATAATGTGGCAAAAACCTTGAAATAATAAAATCTAGTAGAGCTGGAAGTGATCACATATGCCTCTAATCCCAGAACTCAGGAACAGAGGCAGGAAAATCAGTTCAAGGCCAGCCTGGGCTATACAATAAGACTTTGTCTCAGAAAAAAAAAATCCAGTGGAATCTTGAATTTAACAAACATTTCTTGAAAGCTGAATAGCAGTTTCTGATGTGTGGGAAGGAGTTACTTCAATATGCATATAATATACCATGCCACAACCAAGCCCATGCATTTTATTCCTTCAAGGGCTGTAAGGATCTCCTGTCCTAGAAGCATTTCACTTACAAGTAAACCTGTGTGCTGGTTTCTAATCATACTGTTTAATTTCTGGCCTTTTTCTTCACTCCTCTCTCTTTTGTTCTCACCCAGAACTTTAGGCTACTGATATCTTTCTCCTCACTTTGCCACCTCATATCTCCTTTACTGTTTCCTATCTAACTTAGACCTGTAGCCATTCTTTCCTTCCTCTTGTACGGCTTCTGCCCCCTTGTTTTTCTACCAGAACTATGGACAGACTTTCCAGCCTATGGGACATTGCTAGAGGAAAATCATGTCATAGTGTAGAAAGGCCCCTGCTGTGTTTCTAATTTTATTTCCCTCTATCCTAACTTCACAGCTGTTACTTGAAGAATGTGCATGATGCTCTCCAGCTTACCCTTAACCTTCCCTCCTACATACAGAAAATTGAAGTTAACACACAGATGGAAGCTTTCTAATTCCAAACCTTGTTAGCTTAGCCATATCTGAATCTATGTTTACACTAATGGCTTCAAGCTCAGAGAAGGGGTGCATCCTCCTGATAGGAGCAGCCCCATACGCTCTGCTCCTTATCCTTATTGCAGTTTAGGTTTTTGTGTTCACTGTGTTTTCACTCTCCCCCTGTCTGAGTCTCATATCTAAGCTCTCTGTATCTCTCCTAATTGTCAAATCATGACAGTTTTACAATAGATTGTAGCACATAATGGCTACATAATGCTTACTTCCCCAAAAATAGAACATGGTATATATTTGCATAAGTTTAATTTACATATACACCCTATGCAAAGAGAGGTAATTAACCTGGTTGCAATTAAAATGATGGTAGAGGACTTTAACTCAAGTTCTTTTTTTGGGTCCGGTCATGGGGCCTGAACTCTGGGCCTGGGCGCTGTCCCTCAGCTCTTCAGCTCAAGGCTAGCGCTCTCCCACTTAAGCTACAGTGCCACTTCCGGCTTTTTTCTTTTTGCTTATGTGGTGCTGGGGAATCAAACCCAGGGCCTCATGCATGCAAGGCAAGTGCTCTCCCACTGAGCCACCTTCCCAGCCCCTAACTCAAGTTCTTAGTCCACTTATTGTTTCTTCAGCCCAATGTCACTGATTCAGACCTTAATTTTTTGCTCATTTTTTAAAAAGTCTTCCGCAGTGGCCAGGTACTGGTAGCTCATACCTATAATCCTAGCTACTCACGAGGCTAAGACCTGAGGATCACAGTTCAAAGCTAACTCTGTCACGAAAGTCCATGAGACTCTTATCTCCAATTGACTTGAAAACCAGAATCATTACCTTGCCCATGTAATTGTAACCCCTCTGTATGGTATTTTCACAATTAAAAAAAAAAAAAGAAAGAAAGCCAGAATCGGTGTTGTAGTAGAACCCAAAGTGGTAGAGCAATAGCCTTGAGCTTCAGGGACAGTACCCCGTCTCTGAGTTCAAGCCCCACAGTTGACAAAAAAAAATGTCTTCCACAGACCCTTCAACCTACCACCTAGCAGTGTTTTTCATCATTGATGATTAAATATTTACTTCTGCTTCTCATTGTGGCATACTAGATAATCAGATCAGTGTTATTAGGGTAAGTTGGAAGTGTTACACAAAACATGAGCCAAGCACCAGTGGCTTATACCTGTAATCCTAGAAACTCCAGAGGCTAAGAGCTGAGGATCACAGTTTGAAGACAACCCCAGCAGAAAGTCTATGAGACTTTTATCTCCAATTAACTACAAAAAAAACAACAACAACAGAAGTAGACCTGTGACTCAAGTGGTAGAGCACTAGCTTTGAGCAAAAACCTCAGTTAATACCCAGACCCTAGCTGAAGCCCCGGGACCGGCTTCTCAGAAGATTAAAGCAGGAGGATCTCTTGAGCCCGGAAGTTTAAGGCCAGCTAGGTCACATAGCCAGAAATTGTCTCAAAACACAAAACTAATTTAAGAAGTAATTAAGTATTTAACACAACACATGTCAGGCTGCCTTTTACTTGTTTCTTTTTTTCAGTATTGGGGCTTAAACTCAGGACCTTGCATTTGCCGGGCAGGTGTTCTGCCACCCTCCCAGCCCTTCCTCCTTGTTATTTTTCACATAGGTCTTGTGTTTTGCTCAGGGCTTTCCTTGGACTGCAGTTCTCCTACCTATTGCCTTTTTGTATTGGGGTTACAGGCATTTGCCCTTTATACCCAATATATCACTTGAGATGTTGAGATGGAGTCTTGCTAACTTTTGGCTTGTGCTGGCCTACATCTACAGTCCTCCCTATCTCTGCTTTCCTGAGTAATTAGGATTACAGGCATAAGCACCATGCCCATCCCAGTATGTCTTTGTGTATGCATATATGTGACATACAAGCAACAGATAGTAAAAGCCTTATGTTGTGAGGATATTATGCAAAAACTAACGAGATAATTTCTTCCTTATTTGTGTAGGAATATGTTTATCCAGAAGCCAGAGACAGACAGTACTTACTATTTTTCCATAAAGGAGCCAAAAAATCACGTTTTGACCTAGAGAAATACAACCAACTCAAGGATGCAATTGCTCAGGTAAGTTTTGTAAAAAATTAAAGCAAATATCAACCCCATTGTGAATAATGTCATTATTATCTATCACCACAATTCTTCTTATGGGTAAAGAATGATCCAACCTCCTTTTTCTTGTATAAGGTTTCCTTTAGTTATTAAAAATGCCAATTTTGGCAGTCAGCCCTCTCTAGAAGAGAAGATGATAAAGAGATGCTGGGACCTCTCTGTCCTGTTAGCATTAGCACATTGAAGGTTGTAGACCTACTTTGTCCTTCATTATGTTTCTTTGGAATTTTCTAGTTTTCTCTCTTTTTTTAAAATCTTTTTACAATAACTGCCCAAAGACCTTTCACCTGAAATGTGTGATAATAACGAACCAGAAGTAAAATGCAGGTTTCAAGTATGTGTGTATATGTGTGCATATATGTATGTACACACACACACACACACACACACACACACACACACACACACACACACACACACACACACACACACACACACACACACACACACACACACACCTTACCTCTACCTCTTTAGCTCTACCTCTTTCAAGTTTCTGGGTGAGCCTTCCCATCTTCTGAGTGGCTTTGATGAATAAATACTCAATCTTTTTCCATAGTCCTTTGTGACTTCAAGGTTTTCAGAAGTGTAAGAAGCCTTTCCATCCTCATTAATGCCTACTTGCTCTCTCTACACCTTCTCTGTCTTTTTCATCCCTTGCTGGTGATGAGTTTGGGCTTTTAATAGGCTCAATCCATCTGTCCACATAGCCTTCATGTACTTTGTCTTCTGCTGTAAGTATAGTTCTCAGCTGGAGAGAGTGCTGGTCAGAATCATCTCCAGAGCTGTAAAGTGTAGCTACTTCAGCTCCTCTCCAGCTGCAAACCCAGGGCAAGGCCCAAGCACATGGGAGAGTCTAAAAGGGCCATAGTTCACTAGACAACCTTCTATTAAAACTCATTCACTAAATGGAAATTTTAAACTGATATTGGATACAATCTAAAATGAGTTAAATGTGTGATTCCCTCAAAGGCTGTGATGAGGCTTCTCACTGAAGAAATGTTACCAGTGTGTGAGATTCAGAAGATCCCCACACTCACACATCCTGGAGTCCTTCCCCTGGGATAGTGGCTAGCATAGTGGATAGTAGATAGCACCACTTTGTTGTCTCCAGCCATGGTTACAGCCCTTTGTGTCCTGATTCTCAAAAGTAACTGAGATTATCTTTGACTCAGTGAAAAGAGGACAGCCAGCTTCTTTTCTCAGCATGCAATAGTGTCACTGAAAGCTTTACTGGTCACTTTCCTAACCTTCTGTTTCTATTTTAGGCAGAAATGGACCTTAAGAGACTGAGAGACCCATTACAAGTGCATCTGCCCCTCCGACAGATTGGTGAGAAAGACTGATTGCAAAGAGCCTGTGGATCCCGGTGGAAAGAACGCCTGTTTATAACTCTCGCCTTTTTAATTAAAGCATTGCAGGTGGACCCTGGGAGCCATGTGGGAGTAGAGGGTTTTTACCTTTAATTATAAAACAAATACAAAAGGGATCTTAGTAAAGAGAGCACCAGGCATTGTGGAATGTAAGCTCCAAGGGCTTAGTGAACCCTGTCTTAATCAAGCACCTCAGTCTCTGAATGAAATAATGCAGTTACATAGCTGAGACTAAAAATAAATGATGCTGGGCTATTCACCTGCATCTCCTTCACAGAATCAGTAAAACAGTCACACACACCAGCACCCTACTCAACTCTATTGTTTTTTAATTTAACATTTCTTATTTTTGACATAGGAGTAAATGATATTCCAGAAAAGGAAATTCTCATAAATGTAGGTGGCAAACAGAGTCTGTGCCCATGCAATTCACATTTGTTTTTTAGTTGGGCTCAGTCTCTAAAAAGTTGCTAGGAATTTCTTCCTCCTCTCCATCCCACAACCCCTTTACTAACCTCTGTCCTGTCAGTCTCACTAACTTTATCCAAATGATCATTGGAACCAATTTATGACTGTTTGATTATTGAAACTTGGATTGTCCCCAATACCTTCCTAAGATGTATGCATATCCCAATGCTCTAGATCAGTATCTAGAAATCATTGGCAATACTGCATGAAGTTTTGGGGGGTTTTCTGTTGTTGTTTTGTTTTTTGTTTTGTTTTGTTTTTGTCAGTCGTGGGGCTTGAACGCTGAGTTTGGGCGCTGTCCCTATGCTCTTCAGCTCAAGGCGAGCACTCTACTGCTTGAGCCACAGCGCCACTTCCGGTTTTCTAGTGGTTTATTGGAGATAAGAGTCTCACAGACTTTCCTGCCCGGGCTGGCTTTGAACCATGATCCTCAGATCTCAGCCTACTGAGTAGCTAGGATTACAGGCATGAGCCATCAGCGCCCGGCTTGTTTTGATTTTTTAATGAATTAGTCTTTCAGAGGAGGAGAGACTTCCTTCTTTCCATGCCTCTCCCACTGATACTCTCCTCTACCTCCACAACTCAGACCAGAGGGTGAGTATTAAGCTGTATTACAAAATCAGGAAGATGTAAGGTTTACAAATTGGCTAAAAATCATGACTCAGTAGCCACTTCAGAACTAGAATGATTTCATTGCTGTTTATCTGCTTGTGACAGCATTGCAGGCCCCCAGATGGCACTGCCATGCCTGAAAGCTTCACTAATGCAGGGACACACTTCCCCGCCACCTCTCCCTCAGGAATCCCCACCCCATTGCAGGCCATAAACTGAGAGTGTGGATTTCCAAGGGTGCCACTTATCTTTACACAGGAATACATTTCTATGGCTTCCTCTAGCCTACCTTCTCCATCCTGGTTTTTTCTTATCTTGAGAGAAAGAAGAATTCATCTTGTAGTCTATCAAAATGTTTTCTAGCAGACTTCCAGATGGCATCTGCACTTGGAGAGTCAAAGGAATCTGTGTGTCGCATCCTGTTTTTAAGAGTTCTGGGGGCAGGATGACGGGATCACACAGACCTCCACCAAGCCGACTGGCTCTTTGCTTTCACATGATTCATCCTTCCTCATGGGGAAAGGCTTCTTTTTCTTCCTCCTTTGGGATCAGTGTGTGTGACAGAAACTTGAAGTGACAAGCCCAGACTCCAGGTGCCTTGCAGAGTTGAAGGCCAGCCAGGACTGTGCCACTCCCATACCCCTTCACTGGCATGATGGAATGAAAGGATGCATGTCCCCACTCCCACCGACCTCCCACTTCCTTCCCGTCCTCCAGCCCCCTCCTCGGTATTTCTGTCATGCCGATTATTTTTAAACCATTATCCTGTTTGTGCACAGGAATTTGAAGAAGAAACAGCACAGTGCAATGAGCAGATCCTTTGGGGGCGGGGGGAGGAAGGGAGGGAGGATGTGGAGAAAAGTCCTTACAAATAGCAAAATATTGAACATGTGTACAATCCTGTATCATTTATGAAATATGTATAAAAAGCAATGTACCTTCTGGAACAATAAATACCTATCCAATTTTTGAATTCTAGAATCTCATTATTTAAAACAAAACTAGACAAGAACTTACTTTTTTTCTGTGATTCTGGGTGGGAGGATTTTTATTTTGGTTTTACAAAAACATGATCAAATTAAGCATCCTTCCTATGTTTCAAAAACAAGCGCTTCACTAATTACTCCTGAGTCTAAGATGGTCTATATATCCCTCATTTTCCAGAGGCACCAAGAGGTGCCTCCAACCATTAATATGGTCATCAGCAGCATTGAGGCTGGTATCTTCATCTGATCCTCAGGAAAATCTCTGTCCAGAAAGATGTTCAAGGAGAAACCAACATAAAACATTTATTATTTTTAGAGATTGTATGAAACTTCAGTGATCATTAATCAGGAAAGTATCACATGTTGCCTCATTTGTGGAAGGCCTGGCAGAAAGCACATGTAAGTTGTGTGATTGCATTAATATCCCAGGAAGGAATCTTGGAGAGCCTCTGTAGCTCAGGTCCTGCCTTCCAGCAGCTTCATAGACAACCTGAGATACCAGGTATGGCAGGTATAAAAAGAGAAGATTGAAAATGTTAACTATCATTTGTACTCAACAAATAATAACTTCTGTTAAGCTTTTTTTTTCCTTAAAATGAAACAGCCAGATGTACTCCTATAATTTAGCATTTAGGGGGCTGAGGTAGTCAGATGAAGAGTTCAAGAAAAGTAAATAAATATATATGGCTTCTGCCTACCAGAAGCTTAGAACTTAAAGTATATTTCAAAATATAGTGAACTTTTAAAAAAAATTTAATATGGGCAAAAAGAACCAGACGTTGGTGGCTCACACCTACACTCAGAAGGCTGAGATCTGCGGATTGAGGTTCAAAGCATGGGAAGACAAACCTGAGAGACTTTTATCTACAGTTAACCAGAAAAATTCTGGAAATGGAGGTATGGCTCAAGCAATAGAGCCTTGAGCACAAAAGCTAAGCAAGAGTAAGAGTCCTGAGTTCAAGCCCCAATACTGGCACAAACACGAAGAGGGAAAAAAAGGAAAAGTTTTAAACAAGATATATAAATGTCCAACAAACATAAAGAGATAGCTCAACATCACTAATCATTAGAGAAAGACAAATCAGAAACATTGCCACAAAATACCACTTCACAGCCCTTAAGATGGTTCTTACTTAAAAATCAAAAAATGAAGCATGTTGGTAAAGATGTGGAGTTACTGGAATCTTACACTGCTGGGAAGTATGTGAAATAGGGCATTCCATATGGAAAACAATATGATGGCTCCTCGGAAAGTTAAACAGCAATTTCTCTTCTGTATATGTGTCCAAAAAAATCAGAAGTAGGAACTCAACCAGGCCTTTGTACACTCACGATCATGACATTATCCATCATGTCCAAAACGCAGGGCCAAGCCAGGTATCCATCAGTAGCCCCTATGTATCCATCACCAATTCATATGTATTGGTGTGTTGACACAGAGGCAGCCCAGGTGCCCAACAAAGTATCAATAGAAGGATAGATCCATGTGGTCTGTACACAGTGGGATATAATTCAGCCATAAAAGAAAGAAATTCTGAAATGCTGTCACATGGATGACTCTTAAAAATGTGCTAGATGAAATAAGCCAACACAAAAGAGCAAATACTTTTTAATTCCACTTGTATAAACCATCTAGATTAGGGAGGCTGGGAATGACTAATGGAAGTAGAGTGTTGATTCAGGAAGATGCAAAGGTTATGGAGGTAGGTAGTGGTGATGGGTATTCTAGTGAGTGTACTTAATGCCAAACAAATGGTTCCAGTGAGACATTTTATGTCACATGCATGTATTTACCATAATAAAGAGACAATAAATTTTCAGTAGTGATAGATCATAGTGAGCATTAAATCTGTTCTTCAGTCTGGTAATTTAGTTTTGCTGAGGGAGTAGTAGACTTTTAGAGCTGGAAAAGGAAGGCTTCTGAGTGTGGTCCTCAGGCATCTTGGGAATCACTAGAAATAAGGTTCTCAGCTCAATTTGGATTAGAATCTAGGAATGGAGGGATAATCTGTGTTTAACAATGTAGTGATTCTGATAAGAACCATTGATCGAGACAGACTTTCTCTAAACAGTGAGAAACTGAGGCACAAAAAGGACATCTGCATCACTTCTCACCAGTGAAAGGATCCTGAAATCACATATGTGACTGAGGGACTGTGTTTAAGGTAAGTAGAAAAGATGTAACCAGAGATGCTCTTTTTTGTGGATACATTGTTGGTCAAAGTGCCCCGGTAAGTATGTAGATGTTTTTAAAGACAAATACAGGGGTTTAATGGCATGGCTCATTTCATAGAACACTAGCCAGTGAGCAAAAACATCAGGTACCAAGTTCAAGGTCTGTCTGAGAACTAAAAAAAAAAGAAAGAAAGAAAAACATGAGAGCTAGGTATTGGGGCTCGGCTAGGATTATGCTAGTTACTCAGGAGGCTGAGATCTGAGCATTACAGTTCAAAGCCAATCTAGGCAGGAAAGTCCATGAGACTTACCTCCAATTAACCACCAAAAAAGATGGAAGTAGAGCTGTGGCTCAGGTGGTAGAGCACTAGCCTTGAGCATAAAAGCTCAGAGGCAGCACCTATTCCCTTAGTTCAAGCCCTAAGACTGGCCCAAAAGAAAAGGAAAAACGAGTCAATTCATACACAGTGGCTCATGCTTGTAATCCCAGCTCCTTAGGATGGGGAGATTTGGAGAAAGGTGGTTCAAGGCCAGCTCAAGGCAAAAGTTTGCAAGTCCCAATCTCAACCAATAAAAAGCTGGGTGCATTGGTGCTTGACTGTCATCCCAGCTACATGGGAAACAAAGAGAAGAATCATGATCCAGGATGACCCTGGTCAAAAACAAGATTGTATTTGAAATAACAAATGCAGAAAAGGCCTGGGGATATGCCTAGCAAATACAAAGCCCTAAGTTCAAACCCTAGTATTACCAAAAAGGAAAAATTAAAAATGCCACATGGTAGTGCCAACCTGTCATCCCAACTATTCAGGAGTCTGTAAGGCAAAAACTTTAGACCCTCCTTGAAAAATAACTAAAGCAAAATATGACTAGGAGCATGGCTCAAGTAATAGAACACCTGCCTAGCAAATGTGAGGTCCTGTGTTCAATACCCCATACTAACAAGAGTCAAAAAAAAAAAAAAGATACAACCGAAATGTCAGGCTTTCTGTAAGACAGATGATTGAGTTTCTTGAAGAAATGACATGGGTTGTGGAGGCTGTTAGAGATGAAAGGAAACAAACATGGCATGACCAAATGCAATGTGCAGAGTAGAGCTTTTTTGAATCCTGACTCAAACCAGCAACAACAACAAAAATGACTGAAACTACTGAAGAAATTTAAATATGGAGAGAATATTAGACAGAGGATTGTTATTTACTTTCATAGTTGTAACAATGACATCATGATTATGTAAAAAAAACAAGTCTCTTAGAAATGCATATTAGAGACACTGGAAAATGAACTATACATCTTGTGAGTGGGGACTGGAGGGAAAACCTGAGAGAGAATGAGGGAAGGGGAGACACGGTTCAAAATAATTCTACTCATTACCTGACTCGTGTATTAGCCCATGTGTACATTACCTTTACAGTAACAATAAAATATAACAAATAGGGCTAGGAAGATGGCTTAATGGTAGAGTGCTTGTCTTGCATGCATGAGGCCCTGGGTTTGATTCCTCAGCACC